ATGAGACTAATAAACAGAACAAGATTCTCAGAGCCATTTGCTTTTCTAGGTTTGCCTACTGTAGTTAATATGAGATGCTTATAAATAAATATGACACTAGGTGATCAAAATAAAGTCTTAACTCTTATGGCTTTAAAATTTTATTGTTATTATAAAGGTGATGTATAGAGGGGTTACAGTTATGTAAGTCAGGTAAAGAACATATTTCTTTTTGGACAATATAAAGTCTCTTACACTACCAATCAGAAATAGGATTACTTTTTCTGTTATAATTACATGGATATAAGAGTGTGTTATTTGGCCCAACTTTGTTGCAAAGTACTCATCTCTCCAAACATGGGAGACACAAACATACCTAACATCTTCTAAGGGCTAAAATTATAGGTGATTACTACTTATTTCTGTCAAGGTGGTCACTATTAGTCCCAAGAATACTCCTCCCTCTATTTATGTGCAAGAAAATATTCTTTCCTGTCTTGGCCTTTTATTTTTTTCACACTACAAAAACTCTTTTATGCAGAATTTTTACTTTCTTTCTTTTGCTTGCCTAACTCGTGAGTGTGTGTGTGTGTGTGTGTGTGTGTGTGTGTGTGTGCCTTCTACTATCTTCTTATTGCCTCCTAACTGGAGAGATTTAAAACTGGACACACAATTCTAGCAAGGCTTTTCAGACCTAATTTAGCTAAATCATTATACATGTAGATACTGAGGCTGAATGATTTTTCTAGTGGAACTAGAATTTGTACTTTTATGATCCATAGACTTTTGTTGCTATCATGTTGATTGAATAGGAATTACATTGGTGTGCTTTAGGGGAGGAAAGGATTTCTCACCATGACGTGTCTGCTCCTCCTTTATCAAGAGGTTCACAATAGCAGTTGTTAGGATTTTGAGGACATGGGAGGATGGTGGATTGCTTTCCACCTTTGTGTTTTTTGAATATGCAAAATGTTCCTGCCATCCATCATTTTACCCTGTACACATCTCTAGACGGCCTCTTGTGTGTCAGACAATGTCCTCAGCTCAGCCTTGGTGGTCGATGGGCCGGGGGATCACAGGAGGTCTGTCTGCAATTTCTCAACTCTGGGTAAGATTTCCAAATCACCCACAAACTGGCTGTACCTCACTTTCCCATGGCAGTCCTGAAGAAGGGGGATATCAAGCAGAGATGAAAGCATTTTTCTTCTCCCCTCCTTTTCTCGATTTAGAAGTTCTATTCTCTATTTGGTGTGAACTTAATAATATATTTTTCTTGTTACTGGAAGTTGTTCAGTGTTAGAGAGCTGAACAAAAATCTCTTCAGTCCAGGCAGTTAACTGAACTGTGTGGCTGGGCCAGGCACCCTGCTGGAGAAACTGGGAAAAGAAGAGGAGGAAGGAACTCTTTAAGGGCCCCAACTCTCCTAGGCGATCATTTAATATCACTTTCACATAGTTACATCCACCTGCCGTGAGCCTCATTACTACAGAAGGGAAGGTACATAATTCTAAGTTAAGGATGGAAGATTCAGTCCTATTCTATCTTTGCAAGAAACTTAAAAAACATAAAACATGGGGAAGTATGTTCGATGTGTATTTGAGGTTGAAATCTCATATCTTAGCCTTATTATTTTACCGTATTAACCTATTTGTGCAATTTTGGCCATTCCTTTCTGAAGGGAAGAAGAATTGATACTGGGGGAAACTATAGCTGAGTATCTGACCTAGTGCAAGGTTTTAGTTCTTGTATCTCACAAGCTTATGAAAGCGAAGACTAATATGCAGACCTGAGGATTTATTTTATTCCTTTCCCTAGTGATTATATTGGTAGCGAACTATCTTTGTCTGAGTATTCCCGCAACATAGCTGTAGGCGCCATAAAAATGCATAGATGGATGGCTACCAGTTCAATTAAGAGGTCTTAACCCAGACTCCTATATGCAAACCCTGTCTATTTTAGTTTTAAATTTCTGCTCATAAATTTTTTAAAAACCAAAAGAAATATTGCGTTTCAAGGTTAGGTTGAAGTCTAAGGTTCCTTAAACAAAAAGCAAATCCCTAGATGGGGAAAAAATTGACAACCCTAATGTACTTTCTCACAATAGCATTTCCAACTCCACCATTTAAATTTAAACTCACTTTAAGTAATATTCTCTTCATTGTAGAATACAAATCTGGCTTTCAACTAGGGAACCAGGAAAGTCACTGTTACAGGAGGAGGTTCCAATACAAGAGAAGTACTTAACTCTCTGCCATTGGATTTGTTTTCTGGGGCCTCTAATTATTATCAACCAGCAACATAATTATCTAAAATAGTAAGACATAAAGTTAGTTTGGTTTCTGGATCTCCAGAAATATGTAAAGGAGAAAAGTAAATTGCTAACCTTCTTGATAGGATTTAAATGCAGGTGCTTAAGAAAGAGATCTTTCATATGTATCAATTATGTATGGGTAGAAATTAATTTTAATTCTGGTTATCTGGTTAGCACGATGCCGTTTACTTCCTTAGTTACCTTTTGCAGTACTAGAAAAAGTGTCCATCCATCCTCATCAGAGGCTAGCCCCACGACCGGACTAGTTGTGTTCCCTCCTGATTCAGGAAAGGAAACAGCATTACATGGCCCAGGGTCAAAAAATAATTTTCTTGGAGGGTTTTGGCTTTACATGTGCCTCACTGGGAGAGGCTTTGGCTGTGTGCAAACCGGGAGAGATGGCAGGATCTCTAGGTTTTTAACAAAACTGAGAAATGCCACTTCACTTTCAGTTTGGTGAGATGCCTTTCCCAGTGTGTTGTGTGTGAGCTTTCACGAGAGCACTGCGGCCCCTTGCAGACCAACTCTGAGCATTTTCTTACCACTCAGTCCTTTGCTTGTTTGCCCGTAACTTGGAGTTTTAAGCTAAATTTCATTCTACCTGATATTCAGCTTCTGTTGATGTCTATGTTGTCCATAATTACACTCTCTTTTTCTAAAGGTAGAACAGAAAAACAACCATAAACAAAAATTGAAAAGAACAAAGAAATGCACTTTGAGGTTATGAATAACATTTTTGAAGCTAGATCTTTATCACTTATCATTTAATATTGTTAGATAAATATAAAAAATCATTGTATAGCTAAATTGAGATGAAAGATGTTTTCCATTTGTTCATAGAGCAACAATCATAAACATAGTATATATATATATATATTGCTTAATCTATGAAATAGACAATTATATTTGCTAGTATTTTTTGCTAGTATTTTTCCATAGAAAATATGGTCAGTAAAATTTTATGTATGTTTTGAGAAATGATCAGGAAGAATTTTGACATCTCTAAAAACATAGGTGAGATATTTAGTTTCAGTTAAAGATATTAGTGATTTAAGATTTTTCTGGAAGAAAAATAATGGAGCTATGTGTCTCCAACATATGTTCATTGTTTCTCAAAATACTGAATTGGAAATTTTGAATAACAAAATTACCAAACCTTCCTTTAGGAAAAGAGAAAGTAATTGTATTGTGTTTTAAATCGTCTGCACTAAGTATTATTGATTTACGTTGCTAAACTTTATAAATCAATTTATATTTCCAATTTGTAGATCACAATTTCTGTGTATATTCACTGCCAGTTATTACAAGATAATAGAAAAGCCTATCATTTTTCCAGACCTAAGTAAAAATTCACTATTTTGCCATTTTTGTTATTTGAATTTAAAAGAACACATTTTGTTATCACATTAAAGTTTTAAAATAGATATGTTCTGTATAAGACTTTCTGATTATTAAAATCTTTCATTTGCTTAAAAGCAAGAAGTCTTTTAACTCATAAGTGAGCATTTCTGCAGCTAAATTCACAAGTAGTGCTATATCTTTGTAGGGTATCTCCAAGAAAGACAAGGGCAATGCTAGAATTCCCTTGCAATAGAAGTAATACTTTCAATTTAATCCTACTTAAGTGTCATGAACTCTTGATCTTGCATTGAACTTCTTGCTGAAATGTGGTCAAGTTTCAAATAGCAATTTCTTACCCTCTAAAGTCAAGGTAAAATCTCCATCCAGCCTTTCCACAAATAGAGGTTGTGTGTGTGTGTGTGTGTGTGTGTGTGTGTGTGTGTGTGTGTGTGTGTGTAATGTATTTATGTTTGTTGATTTAAGTACTCAGAAAATGTGTTATTCACTCAGAAACAACTTACTTGATTTTTTTTCTCCCTAAAATATATCATAAATATGCCTGCTTCTAATTCTGGGGAATTCTTTGATCAAAGTTAATTTTATCTAAATTTAAAAATTCAGTGTTAGTTTATTTTCAGTTAACTCATGAAGTTAATTTTTTTAAGTTCAAAAATCTTATCCTCTTTTTTAAAAGAAGAAATCAATTTAATTCCATCAAAGTGTGTAGGAACTTGTCTCTGGTAATAAAATCCTGTCGGATCTCCCAAATGCAGGAGTGAAGCAGGAAAACTATACTTCCTTTGTGTGTGGCAGAGCCTTGGCCTTTTCTGAGCTATGTAACTAGTTTGAGTGCACGTGCTAGGGTATTAGCGCTCAGCTGCATGATCTGTTGCTGCAGTACAGAGCTAAATAGCAACAGAGCTTGTTACTGTTGTTTGGGTTGCTTTTATATACCAGCTTCAAAATATGTTTTGACACTTTATTATGTTCTGAATCAAGCTTCAGATGTGTGTAATGAAGGATGATGTCTTTATCAGGCTCCAGTGTGTAAATAATGGAGAAGAGCAGTTTAGAAATATTCTTCCTATAAGAAAATAGTTTCTTAAAGTGCTTTCATTCTGATCTGGTGCAAAGGAAACTACTAGAGGTGTAGACAGAATGCACCATGCTCTCTGAAGACTTGAGCACCCTACCTCTAACTTCCCTTCCTTTTCTCCCTCAGCCCTTTCTCTTTTTACTCATCATGTTCATTTCTCTCATGTTCTCTTTCTTCAGTCTATAGGCTGAACCTTGTGAGAAAGTCTGGCACCGCTGATCCACTTTCTCTCACAGACCCTGTAATTTTTGGCTGTATTTTTATGTTTTTCAGATTCAAGTCAGTCTGAAAGTCCCAGCCAGCCAAGTGACGCTGACATTAAGGACCAGCCAGAAAACGGTAAGTTTAGTGTGGGACTCTGGCTGCTGTTATTAGCGTCCACAAGGCGCCAGCAACCAGGCAAGGCAGGAGGATTCAGGCGTCTGCTCTAGGAGGGACCCACATAGGAACAGCTATGAGGATTGAGAGGGAGGGAATTGGCAGGGGGGGGGGGGCGGACAGAGAGAGAGGAAAGAGAGCTGAAGTTTCCCAGAACTGTTTCTTCTGTGGACCACCTTAGCAGCTCCAATCACAGTCCTTCGCATTTGTCAGTACTCCGAGGATCTTGATTCCCAAGAAAGTGGATAATCTAACTGAACCCTGAGAAGTGGACTTGATTTGTCGAATCATAAAGAAAGAATCATAGCTTTTTCCCTGACATTTTGGTTTCTTTTAAAGTGGCAGGTACCCTATTATCTTCGCTACTGACTAGAGATCATTCACAGAGGAGAGTTTATTTCTGAAGCCTTTTAGGATCTTATACTCAACCTGCTGCAAATTGCTTTAAGAAAACAACCTCTATCTTGAAAGGAGTTTTCTACTTTGAGTTGTCTAAAATAAAATAATAAAATAGTGAGAGTATAAAATGACATAGTTTTTTCAGTTTTACAAATTACAGGCATTTTTTAATCTTGTTTTTATTTCTTTTTGTAGTAACAGGCATTGGACCAAAGTCTTCATGCATATTTTGTCGAACAGTCTACTACTGAGCTATATTGCCAGCCCCTATATATACATTCTATGGCAGAAAGTTTATTAAAATGGAATATACACTTTATGATTATAATAGTATCATGTGAAATCCTAAACTTGTGCTATATTCTCTAAATAGGAAAAACACTGTCCTGGGTTGGAATTTTAGACAGTAAAACCCCGAGTTTTAATAAAAACAGAGAAGTACTAAGTAGTACCCATCATAAGGTAAAATACTATATTATCACAAAATTCCATATTTCTTGACCTCGTAATGCTGAATAGGTTGTTTAATCTCTCAGAGTATTGATTTTCTTATCTAATATAGGGAAATATTACCTACCTATGGAAGAATTAAATAAAATGTGTGTAGAACATATTTACCATAAGATTTTCCCTAGTTTATGCTAAATAAAAGTATTGGCAGTGATTCACTATTATTCTTACCATTTTTCTTTTTTATACAAACCTATCCACTTCGTTTTTCACCTAATTTGAATGACTTCATTCCTTGGATCTTTCTTCCTTTCATTCTATATTTCTTCCATTTTGCTTTCCATCTGATCCTACAGAAAAGATAGATACACTGACTTATGTTGAGGTTGTAGGGTGGAGGATGGGGCTCATCGCATTGCATTAGCTATCCTGTCACTAATATTTGGGAATTGGTTTCATTTCCTAAGCCTGAAGAATTTTTTGTTATATTATTCGGCTTTGCCATGAAGTAAGAACTAATATTTTGATGTTATTTTCTTGATGGAAGTTGTTTTTTTTAAGGCAGAATATTAAGAAAAAACTGGTGGTGAAACTCTGAAAGCTGTTTTTAGTGTCATAGACAGCTACATATGAATTTTTGTTAGTATTCTGAAGAACAATATTTATAAGTCTATTTTCATTCTTTTCCACTTGCTTTAAATGTTTTGTTTTTTTTTTCATAGACTATATTTGTACATACTCTCCCTGAACATGTGTTCAGAAGTACACATTTTATTTCATTTAAAGCAGTAGGGGTGTATAGTTCACATATTTAGGTCTGGCTGCCCCTCTATCAGGCCTGAGATTCATCTGTCTTCATAAAATGGCCGACAAGCTGTTCACATGCAAATATAAATTGAGAGCAGGAAAGGCCGGATATGCCATTATGGAACTGCCTGCAATACCGATATTGTGTGTTATCATTCCAGAGAGCATCAGGGATTGAGCCTGGTTTTTCATCCAAAGGCATTATTATGATACTTGCTGAGCTTGCTTTTAACCTCCGATTACTTGGTACTACCTCAAGGATTCATGGTACCATTTTGTGGTGATCAAGCAAATACAAAGAAAGAAACACTGAGATAAAATACCAAATGCTTTTTCAACTTCCCTGTATTTCAAAGAGAAAGAAGTAGAAGCTGAGTACTGAAAGCTCCTACCTCTAAGCCTAGCTACTCAGGAGGCTCAAATCTTAGAACCATGGTTCAAAGTCAGCCCTGGAAGAAAAGCCCAAAAATTCTCATCTCCAATTAGCAGTAAAAAGCCAAAAGTAGAGGTGTGACTCAAATGGTAGAACACTAGCCTTGAGCCAAAAAACACAACCAAGAGTTCAAACCCCAATACAGAAGATCAACTACCAAAAAAAAAAATAGTCAAAGATACTTTACCTTAAATCACCCCAGTGAAGAATCAGAGTTCTCACTTTCCTTCATCTGCCTTTGATCAATCTCAGATGAAGTCATTGGGGAGAACTATCTAACCTCTCCCTTGCAGACATGGAATCACTAGAGGGAATAAATGAAGATTTCAGGGAAAGTTAGTTACCTGTGAGTGTATGCTCTGTTGATGTTTGAATCAAGCACATGTCCCTTTCTTCTTGGCTACCTCACTAGTTTCCGAAAGGTGTCTGGATTTGTTTGTCTGTTTGTTGTTTTGAACAAGGGAACTCTCTGAGGTAGATAAACAAAGATATACAAGTTTTTGGGGCTCTCACTGCAGGAAGATGTGACAAACTCTGTTCTTCAAGTGAAATGGGAACTCATTACTTATTCAGTATAAATACATATATGCAAGAGAAAATAATCTTTTTATCCCAGCTCTTGAAAAAGGTAATGAGAAATGAATGGTATTTCCCTGGTAAACCATGGAGAATGAGTGGACAAATGGTAACATGCTGTTTCATGCAAACCTATAAACGAGGCCATGTAACGTTACCTAAAGTGGATGCAGCTGTTTCTTCCCTGGCCAACTAGCCAATTTTTTTTTCCTGTGGAATTTTTGCTTTCTTTACTTGTACTCCCTTAAGACTCAACTGTAAAAGAAAACAAATCTTTGTCCAATTAGAGCATTAGAGGGGAATTTTGAAGGAATTATTTTGAAGCCTAGAGATAACAGACCAAAATCTCTGAAACTCAAAATTAGTATATTATGATGATTAACATTGCCTCTGGAGTCAGATCTGTGATAAAAATTAATTAAGTAGTTGAGTGACTGCATGAGCATTTGCTCCAATCTCAGTTGTCTTGTTAGCAAAACTGAGATGGTAAAACAACTTCATGAGGATGGACATGAGAATAGGCACAGCAACTAACAGAGTGCCTGGCTGATAGAAAGGATCCAACTGTAGACTGTGCTCTAGCTATTCTCCCCGTAAACACACAAGAGGTCTAAAGCTAGAATGGGCTCCAGAAATAAACCAAGACTTGAAGGCAAGTCTTTGGAATCACCTATTGTGCTCTAAGATGTTGTACACAAATGATCTTCTTAGACTTCTAGCATCCTCACAGTGCCCCGTCTACTTTACTATTCAGCTCTGTCCTCACATTCTATTCTTCATTCTTGTGTGTAAGAACAAGGCAACTGCACAACTGATTCAGAGTTGTTGGAAACTTGAGAGTCTATGCTTAGGAAGGAGGTTTGGTCCTGTGTGTATTTAATATTAGCTGATGGACTAGAGGCATGGCTCAAGTGGTAGTGCCAGGCTCTTAGTTCAAATCCACTGTAGTACATATATATGTTGAGCTTTTGCTAGAAGAGTCTGGCTTGTTAAAAACTGTGAACTGGAACTAGTCACCAGTAACTCGTGCTTGTATTCATATCTACTCAAGAGAGTGTGATCTGGCAGATCATGGTTTAAAGCCAGCTCAGACAGAAAAGTGCTTGAGATTCCATTACCAAAATAAGAAGCAGAAAGCTAGGCTGAAGGTTTGTCCCAAGTGGTACAACACCAACTAGGCAAGTGTGAAGTCCCAAGTTCAGACTCAGTACTGACAAAAAACACCAACAAAAAATGACAACAACAACAACAAAAAGAAAAGCACTATAAACTGGTCTGGGGTGTAGCTCAGTGGTAGAGCACTTGCTTAGCATATATGAGCGCCTGAGTTTTCAGTCCCCAGTACTGGAGGGAAGGAATGAGGGAGAAAGGAAGAAGGCAAGATAGAAAACAGGGAGGAAGGAGAAGAAAAGGAAAAAGTAAAGACACCTGAAAATAGATTGAGGGTATGATTTATGACAAATTTCTTTTGAAGAAAAAACTGCCTTGAGTTTAGAAGACACCTGTTATTTATTTGCTGAATGAATAAATAAGTAGGTGAATGTGTCATTATTCCCATATTTTTTAATGTCTCCTTACTGTCAAGTTACCAAAAGTTTTTTGTTTGATTTGATTTGTTAAGAGGAAAAAAAAAAATCCCTCTAAAAAGTTGGGTGCTGGTGACTCATAGGTGCAATCCTAGCTACTCAGAAGGGTGAGATCTGAGGATCACAGTTCAAAGCCACCATGGGAAAGGATAGTCCATGGGACTTCTATCTCCAATCTCCCAAAAGCTGGAAGTGAAGTGGCTATGAGCAAGAAAACCCTCAAGAACAGCTACCAGGCCCTGAGTTCAAGCCCCAGGACCAGCCAAAACAAACAAACAAAAACCTTCTAGATAAGCTGAAAATCTAATTTGGGTGCTAGGCATAAGTACACAGATATGTAGTGCCAGGAATCAGAAATAAGAGGCAAGCTCCAAGTACCCTTTCAGACCAAGTTATGCCCCCCTGAGCAGGTGTGGTTGAAATGTGAGTCCTATCATGTTAGGTAGTGCTGGATTAGCATAGGGAATGAGAGTGATATAAAGTTTCCAGCTATGATGGGAACCATTCCTTTAATCCTTCTCTAGCTTTTCAGCAGTCTCATTTGTTGGACTTTAGACTTCGAAAATCTATTCATTCCACCTTCGTGAATTCCCATGATGTACTTTGGCCACTGTTGAAAGTATTTGTGGGACCGAACATCTGAAGTGCCTACTTGAAGTTTGCAGCCTGTGAACTGTCCTTCAAAGCTTGCATTCTGTGGTGCATCAGGT